GACTTTAAACTCTAATATTGTAGTGCCGTCTGCCAGGCATCTCATCAAAACTGATTGTTGCAAAAACCAAACTCAAAACTTTTTTTTTTATTCTTTCACATTTCCATCTTCTACTGCTCTGTAAAAAGCCAAGAACTCTGTGCTAGAGGGATCGTGTAACAAGGCATCCTTTCCAATGAAATTGGCGAGGAAAAGAAGGCAAGCTGTAGAAAGAGGTCCCCAGCGGACATTCAGCTTTGGTCCCTGCAGAGCTGAGGCCTAATATTTGGGTTTGCATTAAAAGAGGAAATTGGATGTAAGGAAAGAGGTTAGGGCAAACACTGAGCTATGCTAGGTCAGAGAGAGTGAAGAAGAACTGAAAGTGAGAGGTTATGGTAGAGAAGGAGAGAGAAATTGGTTTACAGAGAGATAGTTCATGGAAAGAGAGTGGTTAGGGCACAGAGAGGCAGAGAGATTTGGGCAGAGTAAATCTGGCTAATCAAACCAGTGTTGGGTATTTGACTGGCTCAAATCCATAGCTCACATTTCTAATTGGTTTGGAGATTATCAGCTTTCCATGCTGTCACAGACATACGCACACACTTTTGGCATAATATGACAGCAGAAAGCCTCTCTGACACTGCAGCTAGACATGTGCAGAAAGAAAGAGAGAGATGGAAAGAGAGTAGTGGGTGATGAATTAAACAGAGAAAAATCACTGGGGCTTGAAATAGATAAAAATAAGACTTCACAAATGTTCTACTAGAGTTCTTATTTATTTAAATGATGAGTGATGATGCGTTCTCTTACAAAATGAAGAATCTCGGAATAAATTCGTTGTAAATTGGTAGTTTTTACTTAGCAATGATAGTGTTTTCAAAGTGGAATTTGTTTAACATTTTCATTTATTAATTTCAACAGGTATACAATTCCTCAATGTAATTCGTAATAATTTGTAATGACATCACGTAAAATGCACATGATGTACATGGTGCGACAAAACACGAGTACAGTAGCATACACAACACAAGAGTAGATATGCAGACATCTGCTGTTTTTTTCATCATTCAAAAATCCATAAAACCTCACCCACAAGCTTCCAGTGGTTTTGTTTTCCAGAATGGCTAAAAGAAGGCCTTATTTTAGCATTAATGTCATGTTACCACTCTGTCTGCTCAGGTATAATTCGTACCGCCTTACCAAACATGGACCGTGAGGCCCGCCAGGAGTACGATGTCGTCATCCAGGCCAAAGACATGGGTGGTCACATGGGAGGGCTGTCAGGGACCACAGAAGTTAAAATCACCCTCACAGATGTCAACGACAACCCTCCAAAATTTCCACAGAGTGAGTAAACGCCTACGTTTTCTAGTTATCCATCGATAACATGTACTGCATTGTGTAGCTGTACATCATTTTCCTCGGGTTAGGCATTTCCATTAGAGGTGTGAAAGTGTCAGACCTTTTACCAAATGACAGCAGAGCTATTACACTTTATCTGAACTTCCAGTCTGCATCTTCCTAGCCTTTTCTGCACTATGCAATAATCACCAAAGGTCAGTGCAAGGGCATTCAATACACATCAATGGTGTCATTAATTTGCAACTTACAAAGTAGTGAGGTAACCAAAAAAAAAAGAGGTAAAAAAAGAGTCTTTATTGGGATCCTAGAGTATCCCCCGACATGTATGACTGTCTTTGGAAGTTCCCTAGGGCACTGGTTGAATTAGATATTAGCAGTGCAATGAAAAAAGCGGATCTCTGGATTTGTGAAGAACGGTAGATTTGATGCGAGGAAGGAGACAGAGGCACAAAATTAGAATATTTTTTAAATTCTTTTTTTTAAACATTTTTTATGAGAAGTTTATATTTTTATCTGGATCTATTTCTCTGTATGACAGATGATACAGAACTGCCAATGATTCTATTAACTGATAAAAAATATTTTATTTTATTTGCTTTTCTTTTCGAGTCCTCGGTGACAAAATACACAACCAGTACAATGATAGTGAGTTCTCTAGTTCCATTTAATACTGTACAAATTCAAAAAATGCCCATCTGCTGTAAATCCATTCTATATGATTTGGAAGTTTTGGAAATGGACTTCTAAAACTCATCAACCTTACCTCGTTTGGATAATGATGATCTCCCATTCAAGTTTTGCAAAAGTCTGTACCATTTCCAGCACGGTTGCCATGTCCTGTCCTTTTGCTTGTGCCTCTGAGTATCCTGCTGGATCCTTCAATGTGATTTAAATCTCCAGAAGTGGATGAAATCATGGCAAGGTAAATATGGAGAGCAGGGACAAGCGGTGAGCAAATATTGTGTGGCAAGTCCAAAGAACTCCTGCATTTTCAATGTGCTCTGTGCTGGCACATAATGGCACATGCACGACAGTTCAGACCATTTCCTCTGAATGTTTCCCCCAAATGCCTCACGACAATACAGTAAAACTCTGTGTTGACAGTCTCACCCCGAGGAACCAATTATTGGTGCACAACTCTGTGAATGCTGAAAAAATGATAAGCATTCTCTGGGTCTTGTTCCACACCCAACGTGCTTCCTTCAGGCTTGGAAACTCAAGACTTTTTCACTGAATCCCTTCGGAGACCCAGCTCTCATCAGCAGCAATGATCTTCCATAAAAATTCAGATCAGTTTGGAAACAAAAGATAATGTTTGCTATCTGTGTAAGTTTGGGGTCCACAGTGCAACAGCAGAGTGCACAGAGCTGTCAAAACAGGACCTAGAGAGTGCAATTTATATTTAAAAATGGCAGCCATGCTGGAAGTTTTCTTTGATGCCTGAGAAGAAGTTGAAAGAGAGATTTGCAAAATTTATGTCAGGTAAGGTTTTTTGAACTTTCTGATCACATCTCATGCACGGCCAAATAGCAAATATTCAGAGAACGATTTAACCTCTCTGGTTCTCCTCAAAGAGAAACATCCTAACCCTCAGCAAGGATTCACACCAATGCTTTTTTTTTTCTTTTTTGCAACCACTTCCCAGCGGACCTTCATGTCCACCTTTCCATCTTATATCCAACTTTGCTATTTTGTGCTATGGCTCTTTTTTCCTTCATCGTTCTGTCCTTCGCCTCCTATAGCGCTGAGCAGAAGGGCTCCTGGCAGAGATTCTGCAGAATAGCTTCAGGAATGTATGGAGAGAAGAAATGGGGAGAAAACAAGAGATGATGGATCAGGATTTAGCCTGTGGAGAAGCTGAATGGGCAAGAAAAGGGAGAGACATGAGCAGAAGCAGTGAGGGAGATAATGTAAAAGACAGGGAGATGCAGAGAGAGAGAAAGTCAAAACCACCACTCTGGTTCCTGTATATTATAACAAGCTGACAGCTGTGTTGCAATGCAAAGCTGAAATGTGATGCTGTAGACCACAACAAAAGGACATTTGAGGGAGTTTAGATGGAGAGTTTTATGAGCAGTGAAAAACTGCTCAAAAGGCAACACTTCTTCTCCAGCACGAGAAGCATATATAGAAGTTTCCATACTGGCATATGCATGTTTCTTTAATAATGCCACATGTTCTTACATAGTGACAGATGGTGTAAAAATGAAGGGAGAGCCTAAAACCTTAAATGGCTGATTTACTAATGCAAATTTTGTAAAAAACTCTAAACAAAAGACTAGTAACTGACCTAAAAAAAAAAAGTAACCCACTTCATAATCTCCTTTAAGCCAGCATATGTGCATTACCAACCATGGAGCGCTTTGCAATCCACTTTTCTTCATGAGCCAGGTGAAAAATATTCGAGAGACAGGATCAAGTCACACACATAGGCCACATTATGTCTAAATAACCACATTACTTGCCTGTGCATCACTGGCAGTTTTACATCTGCAATGCAAGACAATGTACCAAATAACAATATGTTGTGGAACTCGGTACCCTTGTCAAAAAATAAATAAATAAAAAGTAAAAGCAGGACAACCACCTGCAAGAAAATTCTCCCAGATGGTGTGAATGAGGACAGTGATTACTTATTTAGTAGTTGGGCAGAGTGAGAGAGAGGAGAGGAAGAAGAAAAAATGGAAAATGAGATAAGAGTCACGGAACAAAAACGGAGTCTGAGAGACAGCAAAAATAAAACAGATACAAAGATGGAATAAAAATAAAAAAGATAAAAACACACCGAAAAATAATGCATATATATATGGCACAGCTAGACTCCCTCTTGTTGTCTAGCAGCTTTTCAGCTTCCATTCAAGCTGCTGTATTTTTTTCCCTTTCGCTCTAAGGTTTGATATCTCTTTCTCTCAGAGACTTTCTGTCCCTGCAATTCTCTCTCTTTTCACCTCATTATCAAGCGTCATTCGTTTGCAGCCTCGAAAAATCCATCACAGCACAGACAGGAGTAAGAGCAGAAAAACAAAGGCAAATAGCAATTGATTGTTCTTTAACTCTCTCTGACTTCAGTCTTTATTAGGCTGACATGACAGAGATGGTTTTGTTAAATACTGTTAATATATGTCAGCCGCAGCGCTTCTCTCTCATTCTTGTTTGAACAGGAACAATGGAGAACAAAGCGGATAATAAAAAGGCATTTGAAGTGGTGAAAGATCTTTTGGGCGATATCTATTTGCACATCATTTACCTTCAGTGACTTCTATTACAGAACTGTCTATTCTCATAAATCTTGGAAAAATTAAACTCACCTTAGAACTTTAGTTTTAGCTCTTCTCTCAGATTTAAGTAGAATAGATTGCATAACTTTTTTAACTGCTTTTCCAATGTGGGCTTGCAGAGGGCTGAAGCCTATGTCAGCTAAGACGAGTCAAAGTGTGCAGAACATTTTAAACACGAATGCTATGAAGACTTTGAGCGAGTTTAGTCAGGAAACAGCTGCATTGCATCACACAGCAATAGTGATCTGCCCCACTCTCATCATGTCCTATCCAAATGTGGTGGCCTGTTTAAGCTGCAGAGTTTCCCTTCTCTCCCTCTGCCATGTCAGCACCATTGCTGCCCACTATTAAACCCCTCCACAGTCCCAGCAGCCACCTGTAGACTCCAGGGGACAATATTATGTTGACAATCCCCAATCCCAAACACTAACTGTATTCTGCTGCTCTAATAAATCAGTAATTTCAAATGCAAGTTGTTTAAATGAAATAAAGGGCCCAAACACTAATAAAAATATCAGGAGTGACACTATTTTGAGTAGAAATCTCTTTAAACATGTGCATAAATGGAATTACTGTTGATAGTTTAAACAAATATGATGTTATGGCAATTTGGTTAATCTTTATAAACCCAGGCTTTATGTGCTCTTTGAGGCACAGACTATTTAATTGCAAACTCAGTCCACACCCACCACAACATAGTTAACCACACCACAGGCATATTAATTCTTCAGACATCAAACTTTGCTTCTGAGTTTAAATTCCATATATCACAACACATCAAAATCACAAGTCTGACTAAGAAATTATTGAGTAATAAAAGACATCATTGTTCTAAAGTCAGTCATCAGATAAAATTCCCGACCCAAGAGATTGTGGTCATTACACAAATTACACTTATTAGACGTTTCATTAGTGTTTATATCTGAACATGGCCGGTTTATGAGCTTGTAGTCTGTGGGAGTAATGACAGTAGCCGAAATCTCTCTCACTCTCTCTGGTATGGGAGACTAACCTGTGCCTGACTTTTTGCAGTAATGAACTCAGTGAATTCATATTTGCTTCCCCTGTCATCTTTAAATGTAAATGTACATTTCCTGTATGTGACGTGCTTCATTTTAGCCTGCAGCCAGGTATGCCAAGCTGCCTGTGTGTTCTGTCATACAATGTTTAACTCAGCCGCCAGAAGCCATTGATGTTAAGCTACTTAGCAAAAGCAAGAATAGAATGACAGGAGAAGAGAGAGGAAAGGGGCAAAGTGGGGGGATAGGGATGAAATGAGCTTTTAACCAAAATGGTACATAAAAAGAGGAGGAGAAGAGGACAGACAGGGATGCGAGAAATGGAACGATGAGGGAGGAGAGGTGAGGATGAATGACGAGATTTGGGAGGATGGAAAAGGGAGAAGCACAGGAGAGATAAAGAGGGCAAAGATCTTAGTAAATAGAGTCAAACAGCACAGAGGAGTTTAAAAAGCAGGGACAGAGATGAAGACGAAAGATGGAGAAGAGGGATTTGGTGAAGATCGATGGAGATGTGAGGAAAAAGTAACAGGCCTGAGGGTGGCAGGGGGGATTTAGGCTGAATGGATCAAGTCCTGTGAATCGCTCAGAAGCCACATGACAGACTGAATTTCATGATTCACAAGTTTGCCACACCTGGACGAGCAGGATAAACACGCTAACGGTGTACAGCCCATAAATGTAGAGTTTACTTTGTGTTCAATGCCCAAATCTTGGTGTAGGAAGGGGCAAAGAAGAGGCGAGGAGGAATTGAGAAAAAACAAACAAGAATAGTAAAACGTGGAAAAGATAGAGGAAGAAAGATTTGGGAAAAGAAAATAAATAAGATAATAGCGCTGAGAGGAGAGCGGGGGGGGGGGGGGGGGGGTATGAAAAAATAAGCAGAGGCTAAAGAAAAATTGGATGAAATGGGGATGAGTGGTTCAGGTTGAACTGAGGGGAGAGATAATAAGAGCACAAGGAAAGGGAAAGGGAAAAAAAGACAGGGGAGCGAGTAGACATATGGTCATACTGTTCTCATTCTTGAAACCAGGTGTCTGCTTCTTCACATACCCACACACACACAAACACACACACCTGACACTACGGGGGATATTAATATCCTTTGGGCCATATGAGACAGATGGTATAGTTCATGTTAATCCCTCACTGCCCTCCAAAACTGACCCTGCCTCAGATAGTAAACACAGTGGCAACCAGCCAAGGATTGAACAGTGTTGAATACAAAAGCAAGCTGTGACCAAAAGTCACCACTATCATCACCAAGAAGCCGACACACATATTTTTATATTCCAGGTGTGTACTCGATGTCTGTGTCAGAGGATAAAGTCGCAGGAGAGGAGGTGGGCCGTCTTAAAGCTAAAGACCCCGACCTTGGAGACAACGGGCTGGTGAACTACCGCTTAATAGATGGAGACGGAATCAACATGTTTGAACTGACCACGGACTCCGAAACCAGAGAAGCTGTGATTAAACTGAAGAAGGTAAGAAAAGAAAGAAACTTAGCAACTTAAAACTGCATTTTCTCCCTTGGGTTTGGTCCATCAGATGGAAATTACTCGCTTATCTTAAATATTTTGCCATCTCTTTAGACCCCAAATAATTCTTCAAATATTTTGACCTTTAGCTATGCTAACTGTATTTGCTGATTATGACAGTTTAGAGGGGGTTTTTAGTAGTTTTTCAAAGGAGTAACGCATTGGTCTGGACAACCAAACAATAGGGTGAAACTCATTTTGAAGCTCAGTGGATTTTCAAATGATTCCCATGGGTTTATGAGTTAACTCCTTTTACTTTATTAGATTGATTTAATTTTATCACTTGATAAACCACAAAGTTGGGGCGAAGCAATAGACATGATCAGCAACAATTCTCAAGAAGGGTGTGTCATTTAAGTTATAATTAGTTGGTACTAAGAGGCAAATGTGCGAGGAAATAATTCCCCCACATCGCCATCTTACATCACCATCACCAGTCTGAGCCAGTTAATACAAGGCAGGACGCTTTCATGTTGCCTATGCCAAATTCTGTCACTACCTTGGTTATGACAAATCTTTTTTGGACTGCTTTACCCAGTCTGGCCATTCTCCTGTGACTTCTCGCATCAACAAGCATCTTAACCCAGAAACTGACGCACACTGGATATTTTCGGCTTTTTCTACTATTATAAACCCCAGAGATGGTTGTGTGGGAAAATCCCAGTAGATCAACAGTTTCTCAAGTACTCAGACCAGCCTGTGTCAGTCCAGCCATGCAACATTCAAAGTCACTTAAATCAACTTTCTTCCCT